GCCTCTCGGTTAACTCAATGGATAGAGCGCTGGGCTGTTGTGCGGGAGGTTGAGGGTTCGAGTCCCGGCCGGACCAACACTCAAGGTCATAAAATAATTGAGGAGAATATGCTACCTTTCTATAACATTAAGAAATGGTTAGATATTCTAGTCTTCTCAGAAAGGGATGAATAGATGGAGGTCCCGTCTCCTGCAGGGTCAGGAGTAAGAGACGTTAATTTCCCACGCACGAGATTACTGTGTGATGGATGTCCTCCCCTGGGGTGGGATGGGTGGGTTTGTTGGAGATTAAACCTCGTAGGGGACCTATGTCCTATTGTTTCTGCTCCAGTACTTTGTACAAATCCTTAAATACTCAGATACTTAATACCCATGACAATAATGACATTATACTCCTATGTATTATTTGTTATTGAACAGATCATTATCAATCCCTATTACGATGCAATTAAAATTACGTGAAACAGATTTATTTTAACTGATCTAGAAGTAGCTACCACTCAGTTAAATGAGGAATGACATTCACTTGCTCCATGATCTACACTTTACTATGCAACTAACAGAGCACCTCAACATTCGATATCTCTCATTTATACTCACAAGTCTGCTGTTGCAAGGGGAATTTTCCATGGAAATGACATCAATTCTTTCCCTTCGCAGTTCACTCGAAGCAGATTCTTATTTGTTCCTTTTAAAATGCTGCACTCACAGGGCCCTGGGCACTCTGAATTATAGACATAAAGGATCGTTCAATAAACTGAATGCCTTAAGAAAGCGGCGTAATTATCATAATCACAGAGTTTGCATTCCAAGGGTAAAGAAGTAACTTTAGTCGAGGAGAATTTGCGTTAAGAAGGATGGGAGATAGTCTCCAAAGAAAGACAAACACTACAAAAATGTTAGTCTGAATATCAAACAAAACAGTGGAGGGTTCATGATGGAGAACAATGAGAGATGATTGGTTAAACTTTACAACTAAAACAAACATTCTCCTCAAACTATAGCAATACAGAGGGGTTTAGTCTTCCTAGAGGTAAAAGAACATTGAATAACTGTGATAAATAGGTCTCATGCTCAGCTGGTGGGATAAGATTGATATTTAAATGACACAAAGCGACATGTGGTTATATTAAAATCAGTGCCTTTAAACATCAGAACTCAACTGATGGGAGGTAGGCAGACCAGTTGGCAATATAATACCGTAATAAATTAAGGGGCAACCAAGAACAAACTTCATATTCTAGAACAGCGGGGCAGCTTGAGGGAGCCGCTACATTATGGGTGACGAGCCGGGAAGGAGAGTTGCTTAGAAATTTAACAAGATGCTGAGAAATTAAACAAGATGCTACGCAATTCATTAAACAATACAAGTTAAGGCAATAAAATCAATCATTAATATAGTAATATTACACTGGTGTAAGAAAAAAGCTCACTTTCAATGTTGAGGCTGATTTCTCTCCATGATATCTTTTCACCCCTTCGTGCTTCACAGCTGTAATTTGCATTATTTTCGGAAGTTTCAAGAAGCTGATATTTTATACTGGTGGTATTTTGTACAACAACACCATTTTTTCTCCACACAATGTATGGAGCTGGCGCACCTTCCACTGGGCACCACAGGCTGGAAGCTCTGTTCAAAAGTACAGACTGTGTCTTGGGTACTTCTTTCATTGTGAGTGTTGCTACATAAGGCAATTGATAACAAAAAATATTTTAAGGCAATTAACTGCTAGATTGATAATCTGTATCATACAGAACAAGCAAACTGTAGGCATGATACGCAAATTCAAAACATTGTACGTGCAATTTGGAAAATATCATTTATTGTATTTTTTTGACGGCAAAGTCATAAAGAACTTTGTCGATCGCTTTCTCTGTCTGTTTCTCTGCGTCTATCTGTGGCTGTTAGTCTGTCTATTTTCATCTAACAAATAGAAAACCCTTGAATGTGCTCTGTTCTAATGTAAAGCACGCAGGAAGCAGCTAGAGCACGAAAGAATTGAAAGGAGAAACACGAGACGTAGTTCAGTGTTTCCCCTTACCTCTTGAGAGCTCTAGCCGCTTCCTGCGTGCTTCACAACAGAACACGGCATTCCGCAGTCGAATGCCTCTATTTATTTTACATTAAAGAATCTGTTCAATTTCCCAGGCATGACCCTCAGTATCAAACAAACTTTATTCTTAAAGTAAACAACAGTCTCAGAATGCTCTGTACTTTCATAAAGCAGGTTACACTAAGCCATTCAGAATCTTTGTAAGAATAGGTCAAGTAATCTGATTGGTTAAAACAGGACTTGAGAGCGACTTTTTTTCAAGCCCGCGTGAGAGGTGGCACACCAACCGAGGAATGACTTTCGTCATAGCTCAGTCAGAGATGCCTGATAGTAAACTTAAAAACGTGGTAAGATTTCTTTCCAGACTTGCTTCTTTATCCTAGCAACTTCACGAAAACTGAAACGGGTTTCGGTAGCCTTGAAATGGCTGAAATCAGTGCCCCGAGTAAGGGCAATCGAGCTTTGTTTATGAAAAGCATAAACGAAAGGAAGTTTGTTATGTATAATTTTGATAAATTTGTATAAGCAGGAGTTAGGTATGGGTCAAGTCTAGAACTGGACCATTCCATTCAATTTGGAGCTCACGGAACGCTTTCGAAAAATCACCAATACCTCAGATTCCTAATATCGCATTTCACAGCAAATTTTCAATTATCTTTTTCCATATGCGGTATGAGCCAGAATCGCTTCAGGTTATTCTAATGATAAGTGGAAATAGTGTTGTTTTCGAGGATATAAAAATTAGTTAGGGCTCTTGGTTTCCGCACGGAAAAACCAGCTTGAACTTTGTGAAAATCGCAACATCGTCATTTACGTCACGACATAATATAATTAGGCGCCCCGCGGTCAATTTCGGAATTCCGAGCACGTACATATGCATGTATTAGCAGTTAACACCATTTTCGATCAGGAAATCAATACAGTAACCTTAAGATTGTTTTTGTTTTTTGTTTTTTTTTATCCCTGCTTTCGTTTCAAATTCCAATGGCAAAATTATTTACAATAACACATTCCGTAAGCTATTTTTCTTTGCATATAATCGAATACATTAAAGCTTTAAGAAATTTTTTAGGGCAAAACTGAGCTTCATTGTGGTCTTAAAAGAGGATAATCCAATAATTTAGACCGGTAGGTCAAATGGTCTTTGCCGAAGACGTTGAAGACGGGAAGTAAACTTAAACTAGTTGATGTGATACACAAGCATTTGTCACGTAAGACTGAAATTCTTCCAATCTTGTTCCCATCTTGTAGTTTTGCGGCCACGAATATCCGTGAATAACGCTTTTAACAAACTTGTTTACATGATACCTTTTTTAATAAGCTAGATATTGCTGTGAGAAATGTTAATTAAGCCGTGGGGATTTCATGTAGAGTTAACTGTCATAGAAAAATTACCTAAAAGAGCCAATAAGCAGAACACAAACCATCAAATAGCCATGGCAGAGGGAAAAAAGCAAAAAATATAAATAAGAATAGTAAAATAAAAAGAGATTAGGGAAAGTCAGAGTAAAGACGAAACAGAGGCAAAGTACAAAATAACTGAAACAGGAGAAGGGGGATACTAGGGGTATGTGGAGCTGGAAACAGAATGCTGTAGATAAGGTGAACAAGAACTGAAGGTAAATGTATAATAACATGGTGTGCCATTTAAGACATGCTTAGCTGAGCTTAGAACTTTCTTCCCAAATTCCCAATTTTAGTTACAAAACTCACGGAAATTGGTTGGGCTGGAAACCAAAAGATCTAAGTCGAGAAAAAGGTGATACTTTTGATACTTCAGCTAATGTTCATGTCGTGCTGTAAAGTCATTTCTGAATACTTAAAGAATGTCAGCAGTACAGCCCATGCTGAGGCAGAAATATATCTTATTCTAGATCGAGCGACAATTCTTAACACACTTTCCAGCTATCGGACAAGTTCAGGGCATCACGGTTCTTTAGGGGGTGGATGGAGCGGGAGAGGGTCACACTGTCCTCGCAACTGTCCTCGTGCCTGCGTTTTTCTGCTAGAAATTCATTGTAAAAAAAGAGTCACTCATGATAACAAGTTTGAATTTTTTTTTGTCTTCTTATATGTGTGGTCTTTAACTCGCAGTTTTAACATCCGGTTCAACCCACGGGCTTTTGACTGTTGTCCTTTGAACCTTACCTTGGAGTGGTAGGGAATTTGAACGGGAAGTGTCAAGTCTTTCCAAGGGAACGCTGATGTTTTATCGTTAATATGGAAGTACTTAAAGCAAACTAATGGCTCTGAATATTGGTCTAGGTCTAGGTTTTGAAACTTCAGTGGTCAAGTTCCTTATACAACAGATGAAACAATCAAATGAGGGTCTCCATAGGCAGGTGGCTCTTAAGGCTAACGGTTAAAATTTTGGCAATTTTATTATGCTAATTCTTAATTTTTTATGGTTATTATTTCTTTTATAACTTGCGGTTAAATTACGTCAATTTTTATGCCTAACGGCTAATTTTTTTTTCCGATTTACGGCTAACAGTTAACTTCATCGAGACCCACAAAAAACTGGCACTTGGGAAGGGTAGTTGAACTAGATTTTGGCCTAGGGGGGCGGGAACCAATCTTCAAAAGTTAAATTCCCGGGGGGAGGCCATGTCGATGCTTTTCCCTGTAGTTAATCGGCGCATTATTTTTTTATACTAGCGCAATAGTCTCAGTATCCCTCCTTCTAACGATGACACCTTTAGTCACCGAAAAAACCCGTGCCACAGTGTCTTCATTCACTCACAACTGAGTCTAATAATCATCCATCAAAAATAGTTATCA